GGGGGGCGGGGAGGATGAGAGGGGGATCTGTGGTTGGTTTGTAAAATGAATAAAAAAAATTAGAAAAAGAAAAAGAGCACGCTACTGCTGCAGTACTTTCCACAGCTCTGGTCTCCAGAGCTCAGATTCTCGTTTGTCTGGTCACGTGGGGATGGCTGCACATCAATCCAGACCCATAGCTTCTTTCAAGCCAGAACCTTTTCTACTAATTTCTAAGACACTTCCAACCATTCTTCAAGTGGGCAGTCATCTCAAACTGCTTCCTTCTTCCAGGCCCAACCCCATCTAATTTTGATCTTTCATCTGTCACATCTCTTCCCCCTCCCTGTCTTACCGTCCCCTGAACATGCTGTTTTCCTGTTGAATTTATCCAGTTCCACCCACACCCCAAACCCTAGACCAAATCTCTCCACCTCCTAGCTGGGAGCAGTGGCGCACAGCTTTAATCCCAGCCTCGAGAGGTAGAGGCAGGCAGATCTGTGAGTTCCAGGACAGCCAGACAGGGTCCATAGTGAGACCCTGTCTTACACACACACACACACACACACACACACACACACACACACACACACACACACACACACAAACACACACACACACCCCTACCTCTCCACGTCCAGGGGAGTCCCTAATCACTAGAGTGGTCGTGTCTTTCTCAAAATTCTTAGAGCACTGTGCCATTTCCTTAATCACATTTTTGGAACCTGGTCACCAGGAGACCTGGCTAGGCCTTTCCCTTGCAGTTTGTTTAACAGTGCAATACCTGAGCCAGCAAGACGGCTCACTGGGTAAAGGCACTAGCTGTAGAGTGTGACAGTCTGAATTAGGTCCCTGGAAGCTACCTAGTAGGGGAGAAACCAACTCCCACAAGGTATACTGTGACTTCACATGCATGCCATAATATTCTGCCCCATGGAAAGAAAAGAAAACGTACTAATAAAGAGAAGACCAACTCTCCCTTCAGTTCTACACAGAATATATACGTGCATCCCACAAATGCCTTCCCTGACCGACCCCATAAGCACTGATGTAAATTGCCCTCTAAATCTAATCTATCTAATTGGTTTACTAAGACCGCATTGGTCCATAGCACCATTTGCCATCATTTGGAATATACTTTCATTACCTATAGTGTGCGTGACATAATACAAGCAAATTCTATAGTAAAAACCGCCACATATCATATTTAAAATGAGGTGTGATTCAGACCTTCAAAGCATAGACATCGCTGTCATTATATCTGATTTTCCATTTGAGAGGCTGCAGGGCCGAAAGGAAAATATTTGGTGTTTGTAGAATTTAATACTACAAATTCCCCTAAAATTCAGAGGTCACTGTGCTATAGGTCACAGCACTAATTTAACATGACGACAACTCTGAGTGGATGTGTGGCCCCCCAAACACACACGTGACAAGCGGACACGTGGTGCCAACATCCTGTAGTCACCCTGAGAACGTGTGAGCAGCAACAGAGACAGGTCACAGCTTCTCAACAGACTCACCAGTACCCAGCATCACAACAGCCTGACGGGAGCAGAGGACTCTGTGAGCTTTCTGGGCTTCCAGTCTCCCTCAAAAGCTCACCCTGTTATTTTTAAAACGGAAGTTAAGGCACAATTATATGCTGGTTTGGGGCAAAAACACTTCTCTGAGGTTTTAGGCCGCCTTCTCAGAGGACTAGAAGTGAAAGCCTGCCCTGCTGTGAGATAGAGTTGCCCTCCCTTTGACAATTCATAATTTCCAAATACCTGTCACATGAGGAAGACCAAACTATCTGCCAATTTCAGAATCTTTTATAGAAATAATATGGACCGTAGGTGTGGTGATATATTGTGTACCCTAATAAACTTGCCTGAAGATCACAAAACAGAAAAAGCCAGGCAGTGGTGGCACACATCTTTAATCTTAGCACTTGGAAGGCAGAGATCCATCTGGATCTCTGTGAGTTCAAAGCCACCCTGGACTACATGAGATTGACTCAGTCTAAGAGAAACAGAGCCAGGCAGTGGTGGCATACACCTTCAATCCCAGTACTGGGAAGCACACACACGCCTTTAATCCCAGGAAGTGATGTCTGGGCGGAGAAAGGTATATGAGGCGTGAGGAGACAGGAGCTAAAGGCTTTTCAGCAGAAGCGTCCCTTTCGGCTGGAGGCCTTTTGGATAGAAAGCCTTTTCAGGCGGAGGAGCTGGTGAGGTAAGAGGTGGTGGCTGTGGTCTGTTCCTTTGTCTCTCTGATCTTTCAGCATTTATCCCACTATCTGGCTCCAGGTTTTTTATTATAAGACCTTTAGAAAATCCATGTTACGCGTAGGGACTATTTTTTTAAATTATGTATATATGCATATATATTGGATCTGTGTGTGGGTAATGTTCACGTAAGTGCTGGAGTCCACACAGGCCCGAAGTATCAGATCTGAGTTACAGGGGTTTGGGAGCTGTCTGATGTGGGCGCTAGGACTGAACTGGAGTTCTCTCAGGAGCACCAAGCTGCTTACCACTTGACACCAAGCCGTCTCTCCAGCTCCTGGTGCCCTGTGTGACTCCTGGTTAGACCAGCTCTAAGTCAGTACCTTCCCAAACTGCTTTTGATGGCAGTCCTAAGACCCAAGTATTTATACCAACTCAACTGTTCATAGATAACTCGTTCATTCTCTCTGTCAAAACAAAAATTTGGCCAGCAATTCACTAGATGGACTGGGAAACCCACTCGCTTCTCACCCCTAGTCCACCTGCATCCCCAGCGTGCACCCTGTCACTGAAAGGAGGCATCTCTGGAGAAGCCCATGCCCACCTCTTGCCTAAGTCAGTGCCAGTGGCCTTCCCTTGGGTTCTTCTCATCCTCCACAAACACACTGAAATCTAAGAATGCGCCACCTTTCTTTACCAGACAGACCACAACTTTGTCTGGGGGAAAATAAGCTTAACTTTGAAAAGCACCAATACCATCTGGGATTTGTCTTTGGGCCACAGACACCAAGAAGAGCCTGAGGAGGAGGAGGAGAACAATAATCACATTTACAAGACACAAATGAATAAACACACCACCACAACACAAACACCTTCGAGAACTCACTCTTTCCCACAAGGCAAACCTACTTTGGTCCTCCACATTCCACAGCAGAAGCCTTCACGAATCGGATGGGCTGCAGCCCCACGGGCTCGATGCTTAGAGTGTTGTTCTCCACGGCCTCCAGGACAGCTGAAGCCAGCTTAAGACAAAAAACAAGAATTAAATGCTGACAGAAAAAAAAAAATCAGAATAAGCTAGTCTCCCTTCAATTTCACAAACTTGGCCTTAGCCACCACAGAGAAGGGAGAAAAAGCTACAATCACAATCTCCATTTAATTCCTTTCATAATTCAAGCAGTTATGATGGGCAACCAAGTTACAGTGGAAGAATTTCTTGTATTAACTGGAAGAGAATTAAAGGTATTAATTCCAGTCTCTATCCATTCCTTACCCAAGATTACACATCCACTACAAAAGCCACTTCAAAATTAACATCCTAATGCTACATCCTGCTAAATTTATGCAATAAGTACTAGTCATTTATATTAGCACTATGAACTAATTTTAGCTATGTATTTTTCTCAACCTGTATTTACAGGTATAAAAATCTATAAAAAAAAAATTAACATTTTTCCCAAAGTCTCCTCTGATAAACAGGAAGTAAGAGGTCCGGGTTCCTCCTGGGGAGGTTACAGCACCTAGTGAATGTTCAGCAATGCAGGCCCATACCCAGTCAGTACTGTGCACATCTGCAATTCTCCTTACAAGGACTCTACAGCTCGATCCTCAGAAGGCTTACGTAAGACTCTCACGACTGAATTCCTTAAACATTAGTTGACAGGCTATTTGGAGACAAACTTGTCACATCGAAGAGCAAACTCAAATTATGACTTTACAGTTGTCTACGATTTATACACTACCTGATCCTCTTAAATGCTTTTAATCTGCCTACTTCATTCTTGCTCTTAATTCTGCAACAAGGGCCAAGTTAGCATTGTTTTTCCTGTTTATTTATGAACATATTTCTGTCCTGGCTTAGGTTCCATCCTGGCAGTGGTGGAGATCAAGTTCAGGCCCTGCGGGGACTAGTCAAGCCCTTCACCCTGAGCTAGACCCCAGCTCCTCACACACACTTATGGTGTGCTGATGAGCCCAGCAACTGCCCGTAACAGAGTGTGTGCAGAACGGCTTCCACTGAAAACTGAGCGTGGGTGTGTAAACAGGCCAGCCCTCCTTCCGTACAGATCTACACGTCACACTAACACACATCTCAGTGTTTACGACCCTCAGCAAGAGAGAGGGAAAGTGTTCAGAACAGCAGTAATCACATGACATTTTACAGGAATGTGTTACATGTAAGACATTAAAACATGCAACAAGGACGGCAGAAAGTGCAGAAGATCTGTTAAAATGAAAGAAAAATTACCTCACTTTTTGCGAATGTTAAGCATGGAAAGATATCTTCCTGATAGATTTTGTCTAAAAAAGGGCATGTTCTGTCCATCGTGGGCTCGTCCTTCCAAGATCTGAATTCATTATACAGAGATAAATCGGCCTGACAAATCAGAGCAAACACAAAACAACTTTAAAAAGAACAAATATGAACCACCTGATAAAACCAAACCCTAATTTAAACATTATTAAAAGGAAATGTTCATTTAAAGTAATAAAAATTCTATCGTCCTGTAATACACCATAGCAAATTTTCTTTAAAAAATTATCAACTGGGGTTGGGGATTTAGCTCAGTGGTAGAGTGCTTGCCTAGCAAGCACAAGGCCCTGGGTCCGGTCCTCAGCTCCGACAAAAACAAAAAACAAACAACAACAACAAAAAAAAATGATTAAATGAATCTTTGGGTATGTCCACTATGATGTTCAAAGATGTTGACAACATCTGAATCTCATCGGTCTCCAAATACTGTGGCTACTCTTCCCCCATCTGAGGGTCTCTCTATAGACCCCAGCTTTCTGGAAATCACTGGGTGAGCAGGCTGGCCCTGACTAGGCTTCTGCCCGACCACTACTCCCAGCAATACCGGAGCTCTCTGAAGACAAAGACTGCTCGGAATAGAAAGGGTACTGCTGACCAGTCTTTTCTGAAAACTATCAATCCAGAGCCAAGGTAGTTATTTATTACTTTATTTAAAGTGAAAAAATGGAGTCTGACCTGTGAAATCTAGTGTGGGATGAAAACTGAGAGTGATTATTCTTTAATAAAGACAGTCCTAAAAGGATGGCTAAAATATCCGTTAGTGCCGGCCAGGGGGCAAAGGGCAGCAGCATGCACACCCTGCCGCGCTGACCCCTTAACTGCCCTGCAGCAGCAGTAACCGGCCACACCTCCTCCTGGCCAGCCTGCCCCTTCCTTGTACTCGGTGTGACCTACGCCCTCTTCTCTACAGACCCTCAGACCCCCAGCCTACCTGGCCCACTCGAGGCCACCAACCGACACACGGGGCCACGGCCTCAGCCTTGCAGAGCTCTGGGCCACACTTGCAGGGGCTGAGTACCCCGTGAACACGCACTGTGGGCTGGGGCTGGCCTGGGGTGGCTTAACCAGAGCTGCAGCGCCCATCAGAGAATGAAAGGCTGAGGGTGCCGTGCTCTCCTAGACTTAAGGTGAATAATGGCAATAAAATCTCAACGTGCTCATTTTTCATTCCGAGTCATACATTTCTTGAGTCAAAGCTAAAGTCAGGAGGATAAAACATATTAAGAGATAAGTATTTAAGATTTTCAAATTCACTTGTGAAGTTAATCGAGAAAATAGAAATAAGCCCCAAAGCAGGAAAGTGAATAATAATCAAAGGAAAGATTCTGGCTTAAATTTAGGCACTGATTGAAACCACTCCTAAAAGCTGACTCTTTCAGGAACCATGGTTCCCTAAGCACTTTATAAATGCTTAATCCTCTGATTTGTGCAAGGCTGATATGGTGGTCCCAGTTTACAGATAAGGCCAGAAATAAAGTTGCTTCCCAAAGCCACACAGTGTGCCAGCTGGTTTCTAAGTCAACTTGAGACAAGCTAGAGTCCCCTAAAAGGAGGAAACTGCAACTGAGAAAATGCCTCCACAAGATAAAGCTGTAGGCAAGCGAGCCCAAGGGGCATTTTCTTAATTTGTGATTGACTGGGGAGGGCCCAGTCCATGGTGTGGGTGCCATCTCTGGGCTGGTGGTCTTGGGTTCTGTAGCAGGCTGAGCCAGGTGGCGATGGCGCACGCCTTTAATCCCAGCACTCAGGAGGCAGAGCCAGGTGGATCTCTGTGAGTTCAAGGCCAGCCTGGTCTACAGAACGAGATCCAGGACAGGCACCAAAATTATACGGAGAAACCATGTCTCAAAAAAAGAAAAAAAAAAAGAAAAAGAGAGATAGAGGGAGGGAGGGAGACAGAGAGAGACA